TTTGCACATAAAATGTTTCACAATTTTGGTGTAACATGCTGCGCGCGCACCCTGCGCACCCTGAATTTCCAACACTGTATATCATAAGACTAGGGATGGGGGAGTTTTACTAAAAGCGGTTTGAAAGCGGTTTGGTTTGGTTTGGTTTGTGAAAGCAGTTTGAGCGGTTTGAGCGGTTTGAATCAGTTACACAATGATAAAAAAAGTGACACAAATATTTAATTAAAAAATATTATATAGAATACAAATAATTATGAAATATTAATATTAATATATTCTATTTGTAGTTGATTAAATGTAGCATTAGTGTTAGAGACTGGAGGATTCAAGCAAGAAAATACCCATGTGCACTTAAGCCATTAAATAAATGCATTATTTTATTTATTATTATTATTATTATTACTATTATTGAAAAAAGAAATAAAATATATTTTGTATCCTAATTTCCTATTTTATTAATAATCCAGCTCTTCAAACATAAGCATGCTCTTGCAGTCTCCGGCAACAAACGATTTCGAGTTTTACTTATAGTATTTCCAGCAATTGAGAATGCCTCTTCTGATGGAACACTAGTTGCTTGAATGGTGAGATAATCTCGTGCCATATTACTTAAAACTGGATATTCTTTTGCATGTGCCTGCCACCATAATAGAGGCTCTGTTTCATCATCTATTGGTAATGCCAGATAGCGATCTAACTCTGATACTGAATGTGTTGGAGCAATCTGTGGTGTAGTTTGATTACATCGAAGTTGAGTGAAAAATTGATGAGTTGTATTTGTGGTGGTGGATGATGATAGTCTTCTTCCAGGAGATTGTGTGTTAGGAGAGTGCCTCTGGTATGTTTCAAATTTTGTTCGAATGTGTCCACAAGCCATTTGATGGTTTTCTCCTGAAAAATTCGTGAGCTTAGTTCGAGGATCTAAGATTGCTGAAATGATTGAAGAACGATCCATAATTTGCCAATACTTATCAATTTTTTCAAGTATTGAAGAAGCCATTTCATCCTGTGTGAAACCTTCCACTCTTATTTGATCATTTAAATACACCTGGATACCTTCAAAGACTAAACGAACATCACCCATCGTTGGATATGATGATGCTGAAAGGTGCTTTTTAGCTTCTTCTAAGGGTTCAAGAAGTAACATAGTATCCTATAAATATGATGAAGATATCAGGTATTAATTATTAATGTTGCCTGTTTTTGTGAAGTTTTTTTTTTTTTAAAAAAAAATTATTAATACTAATATTTACCCTAATTATAATCCAATCATTTTCATTAGGATAAAGATTTTTGATGTTGTTATTATCTGCAGCAAGTAAAACCAGTGCTGGTTCAAGTTGCTCCAAACGTTTTAACATATAGTATGTAGAGTTCCAATGGGTCTCCACATCCAAAACAGGTTTATAGTTATAGATCTCTTTTAAATTACAAAAACTGTGAAGTTGATCACTGAGGAGAGTTGAAGTTTTAATTTTTCCCATTAATTCACGTACTTTATTAATTGAATTATTAACTAGCTCTAATCCTTGCTTTGCACTCAAGTTTAGAACATGTGCTGCACAACGATAATGTGAGAATGTCATTGAAGAAAGTTGACTATCAAGGGATTCGGCAAGTCTTCTTCCACACACAATCATTGCAGATTCATTATCTGTTGTTAGTGCAATGATTTTACCAGAAATGTTAAGTTCATCTAAAACACGTTTAATTTCTCCAGCAATATTTTCACCAGTATGTCTAGTGGTAAAAGGGATGATATCGAGGAGAAAGTTGCTGAGTTTCCAATTTGAATCTATATAATGTATTGTTATTCCTAAAAAGGCATCTCTATTCATGGAAGTCCACATGTCAGCCGTCAATGAATATTGACCCTCAATTTGATGAAGCTCATTAGCAATTTTTGTTCTTCGACTATTGAATCCACCAATTATAAGATCCTTTACTTGGTGTCGCTCAGGCATAGTATAACGAGGACAGAAGTGACTAACAAATAGCATAGTGGACATTCGTTTTATCACATGTGACAAAATCGATCATTGATCTTTTTTATGTTGTGAAACATGTGACTTCAATTGAATTTAGAATAGAAAAAAGTCGCGTGACTGCGCACAAAAATTTGTTTAACCTGAGATGTATTTTTTTAACATGTATATTTTGCTTTCTATGTTCTTGGTATGTGTGTGAAAAATGATCAAATGATCAAGTTGCTTTTGAAGGGTTACATAGGAGCTATATTTCAAGCTTTAGTGATCAATGTAAGTATATTGTAAGACATTCTAGGCTCAGAATCATGCATTTTTGTTTTATAATAAGTTTATTTAAAATTTTACATTTCAGAAATAATCATTTCTTCATTTAATGTAACAAATTATCATTAACCATTATCTTTTTCTAGTCTATTATTATTATATAGGATTTTACATTTGAGACAACACCCTTTTTATAAAGTTCCAAACATTTACAATAAGCATGGCCACATATTAATGTTATACCTTCTTGTTCATCCTCTTTGATCACATCATTATTATTGACAAGAGATGAAGAGAAAGAAAAATGTGAGAAACAATCTGTGATGAAAGATCAACTCTCACTTGTAAATATTATTATTTATTTATTTTTTATATTGTGATCAAGTTTTTTGTTATATAAACTTGATATACTAAAATTTGGATAATATTTTATTTATTATATATAGTGAAAAAATTATTTAAACTCACATGCATATATATCTTTAGAGGAATTATTACTAGTAAGAGTTTTAATTATATTCAATTATTACAATGCATATATATATAATTTAGTTTCTAAAAAAAATTTTTTTAAAAAAGGTGATTGATAACAAACAAAATTGTTTTATGTGTATATGTGGATCAGATTGAATAGGAAATCTTACTGACAAACAGTTTTTGGTATTTATTTGAGAGTTAATTGTTATTTTCTTTTTTATTTAAGTGAATTGTTTTGAAAGTAAGTTACTTATACATTTTGATTAATTAGAGAACATTATTTTTTGATTTTTTAATGATGCATTTAAAAAACAAAAAGGACTTTTAAACAACAATAACAGATATACTCAGGGTGTAATTATAAAGTGATATATACAATTTAAAAAAATGTATTTAAAATATATTTCTTTTTATATTTATATTTATTTTTTTTTTTTTTTTTTTTGCTAAAGTGAGGCCTTGAAATCACGTTTATTTATTTAAAATTTAATGCATTATTAAAAATTTA